GGCCATGTATCGTGAGATTTTGAGTGCAAACCTCCTTCCATCAGCAAGGGCATTGAAGATGAAATGTGGCTGGGTCTTCCAACATGACAATGATCCCAAACAATGAAGGAGTGGCTTCGTAAGAAGCATTTCAAGGTCCTGGAGTGGCCTAGCCAGTCTCCAGATCTCAACCCCATAGAAAACCTTTGGAGGGAGTTGAAAGTCCGTGTTGCCCAGCGACAGCCCCAAAACATCACTGCTCTAGAGGAGATCTGCATGGAGGAATGGGCCAACATACCAGCAACAGTGTGTGCCAACCTTGTGAAGACTTACAGGAAACATTTGACCTCTGTCATTGCCAACAAAGGATATATAACAAGTATTGAGATGAACTTTTGATATTGACCAAATACTTATTTTCCACCATAATTTGCAAATAAATTCTTTCCAAATCAGCCAATGTGATTGTCTGGATTTTTTTTTCTCATTTTGTCTCTCATAGTTGAGGTCTACCTATGATGCCAATTACAGGCCTCTCTCATCTTTTTAAGTGGGAGAACTTGCACTATTGGTGGCTGACTAAATACTTTTTTGCCCCACTGTACATCCCAGGAATTTTCAAGTGGGGCTAAGGTAAGCACACCCTCCTGCCTGCATGCCGGAACTGAGAGCAGATAGATTCCAGGAAGTAAATGCTGCAAGAATCATCTTCCCTTATTCAAGATGGCCATGGCCAGAAATGTTGGGGGGGGGGGGGGGGGGGTTCAAAGTGATTTCTCAACAAAATAAAGCATGGAGACATGAATGGATGGGTGAGTTTGCTCTGAATAGTGAAAATGAATTAAATAGCATTTTTGGTTTGCGATATCCAGATAAAGTGTAGTTCTGCTTTAAGAGGGGTGGTTGCGAAGTAGTAAAACGATGGCTGAACCACTTTGTTTAACCGTCCCCGACCTTAAGAATAAACCAAGCCAAAGTGCAACATACAGAAATGTAAAAGTGTGAATGAATACTCAATATCAGAGACAGCGGACACACAACAGGACTTAGACTATGTGCATGACACAAGATATTCAGAGACTTTGAACATAATACAGGAGATGGTCAAACACTGTTAAAATAATACAAGAGATGCTCAGAGATTGCAGACATGCTATAGGAGTTGTTGGAGACTAGAGACATGTTTAAGGAGACAGTCATATACTGGAGACATATTACATCAGGCTTCTAGAAACCACTACTATAACTGGCCAATAGAGAATCATAGATTAATACCTGCATGGGCTCTAAGGGCTGCACAAAAAGTGCCAAAGGGCAGCATGAGGCCTCTAGGCCACAGATTGGGCACCGAGGGTTAAACCCACCTACCACTAGACTCTATAGTAGGGATACATTGTGTTCCGAAGCTACAAAAGTGGATGAAATCAAAAAGAAAATGCCCATGGTGTTTGGCAGGCATTATGCCAATGTCCAGGTGTGATCTAAAATGGAATTCCAGCTCAGGATATTTGTACATAGCTACATTGCTCCAGCTTGGACCCATATACCTGTACCTTACCTGTGCAATCCCTCTAGAAGCTGGAAATCAATCTCCTCCAGTGATCTCCACTTGTGCCTGTGGGTCCCATGTCAAGCAGCTGCCCTGCTGTATCGTGAACACAGAAGGTTGGCCGTTGGCACAGGCACATTCAATTTTCTCAGTGAATACTGTACATTCTCTAATTGGATGAGGTGGAGAGGCTGAGCAGTGATGTCACACTCCATCTCATCAGTCCTGTTTACAATCATCACTGAAAGTTAAAGAAAATCCCACATTTTGGGAATGGGATCTGGTGACATCCAGGGATTCCAGCACTGGAAGTACACTATATTTCCAAAAGTATTGAGATGCCTGCCTTTACACACACATGAACTTTAATGGCATCCCAGTCTTAGTCCATAGGAAGGGGCCATCCCCTAACTGTTTCCACAAAGTTGGGAACATGAAATTTTCCAAAATGTCTTGGTATGCCGACGTCTTAAGAGATCCCTTCAGTGGAACTAAGGGGGCCAAGCCCAACCGCTGAAAAAACAACTGCACACCATAATCCCCCCTCCACCAAACTTTACACTTGGCACAATGCAGTCAGGCAAGTACCGTTCTCCTGGCAACTGCCAAGCCCACACATGTCCATCAGATTGCCAGACAGAGAAGTGTGATTCATCACATCAGAGAACACGTCTCCACTGCTCTAGAGTCCAGTGGCTGCGTGCTTTACACCACTGCATCCCACGCTTTGCATTGCACTTGGTGATGTAAGGCTTGGCTGCAACTGCTCGGCCATGGAAACCCATTCTATGAAGCTCTCTACACACTGTTGTGCTATTCTGAAGGCCACATGAAGTTTGGAGGTCTTTAGCTATTGACTCTGCAGACAGTTGGCAACTTCTGCGCATTATGCTCTTCAGCATGCGCTGACTCTGCCCTGTCATTTTATGTGGCCTACCACTTTGTGGCTGAGTTGCTGTTGTTCCCAGTTGCTTCCACTTTGTTATACCACTAACAGTTGACTGTGGAATATTTAGTAGCAAGGAAATTTCATAGATGGACTTATTGCACAGGTGGCAACCTATCACGATACCACGCTTGAATTCACTGAGCTCCTAAGAGCGACCCATTCTTTCACAAATGATAGGAACACCTGAATCCAATGATTTGTCCCAATACTTTTGGCAATATAGTGTAGATCTATATTAAGACAAAACCCATAAATAATGCTACATTCCAAGGTTATCAGAGGCTTTCGTGAGCAGAGAGTGACAGTCTAGGGAATGAGTCATTTTGATGTAACTCGGGATTGCGTGCCAGTCATTGCTCTGGTCCTCTTCTCTTAACCACTTGCCTACCAGGCACTTATACCCCCTTCCTTACCAGGCCAATTTTCAGCTTTCAGCGCTGCCGCACTTTGATTGACAATTGCGCGGTCATGCAACATTGTACCCATATGAAATTTTGATCATTTTTTTCTCACAAATAGAGCTTTCTTTTGGTGGTATTTAATCGCCACTGGGCGCTTTACTTTTTGCGCTATAAATTAAAAATGTGCAAAAAATTTGAAAAAAAAAAAAAAAAGTTTGTTTCTTTTATAAAATTTTTCAAACAGGTATTTTTTCTCCTTCACTGATTTGCGTTGATGAGGCGGCACTGATGGGCACTGATAGGCGGCACTGATGGGCACTGATAGGCGGCACTAAAGGGCACTGATAGGCAGTACTAATGAGGTGGCACGGATAGGCGGCACTGATAGACAGCACTAATTAGGGGTCACGGATAGGCAGCACTGATAGGCGGCACTGATAGGCGACACTGATGATGGGTACTGATAGACGGCACTGACTGGCATCACTTCTGGGCACTGACTGGCGGCACTGACTGGCACAACCCCTGGGCACTGACTGGTGGCACTGACTGGCAGCACTGCTGGGCTGCACTGGTGGGTGGCACTGGTGGACAGCACTGGTGGACAGCACTGGTGGGTGGCACTGCTGGGCACAGGTGGGTGGCACTGCTGGGCACAGGTGGGTGGCACTGCTGGGCACAGGTGGGTGGCACTGCAGTGGCACAGGTGGGGGCACTGCTGGGCACAGGTGGGGGCACTGCTGGGATCGGGTGGGCGGGGCTAGTGGGCGCACTGCTGGGCGGAACATGCGGGTGTCACTGCTGGGCACCGATCATCAGGGCACTGATCATCAGTGCCCTGATGATCGGTGCCGATCCCCGCTCTGACAACTGCCGGTTCTCGGCAGTACTTTCCTCACGATCTGACAGCGTGAGGAAAGTGCAGCCGAGAACCGCCACTTGCATTTCCCTGTGATCAGCGTGTCATTGGACACCGCTGATCACGTGGTAAAAGGCCGGTGGGATCGGCCTTTCACCACGTCACGTGATCAGCTGTGTCCGTAGGACACAGCGATCACGGAGATCGCCGGGTGCGCGCCCCCTGGGGCGCGCAGGAGAGCGCGTTCTGGGAGGACGTCATATGACGTCCACTCAGAACTGGCCGGCCGCGGTGAAGCCGTCATTCGGCTGTGCGCGGTCGGCAAGAAGTTAAAGGATAAGTTCACCGTTTGGACAAAAATAATAAATGCATGTAGCAAGGAAATTTCACGGATGGACTTACTGCACAGGTGGCAACCTATCACGGTACCACGCTTGAATTCACTGACCTATTCTTTCACAAGAAGCAGTCTGCATACCTAGGTGCTTGCTTTTATACACCTGTGGCCATGGAGGTGATTGGAACCCCGAATACAAATGATTTGGAAGGGTGTCCCAATACTTTTGGTAATATAGTGCATTGCTTCTCACTTCCTGTTTAGCTATAGGACAGGAAGTGACAGGAAATCTACCCAAAGGGACACAGATGGCACAAATACTGACAGGGGTTATAACCCTCTCTTATACCTAGTACACACAATCAGACTTATTGTTGCATGCTAGTCTCATATTGAAAATGAAGTTACTAACATTACAAAAATTCTCATACAACAGAACTCCGGAAGTGATGTATTCTTTTATTTCTGAGCATGTGCGGTCTTGGCCTTGCAATTTTTTTTTTTTTGGGGGGGGGGGGGGTTTAGACAAATACTGTACCAATTAAACGAAAATCGTTTGTGCTGTCATCCTACTCATGGGCTGGTGAAAGCTGTGTACTAATGATCAGATTATTGGATGATCCCTCCTAAAGCGATTTTTGGATCGTGTTCAAAATGGGAAAAATAAACATTTAGATTGTGGCTCTACTTGAAATCATACCCAGACACCTGCCAAACACATGACCGCAGCCTTATAGAATTCAGCCACTTTTGTAGCTTCTCAAAACAAGTGTGATAAAACAGATGAAGCCACAATGTATCCCTGCTACAGACTGCAGTGTCACCCATCCAGGTGTTTTGGCCATAGAAGGCTGTGACAGGGTGAGCAGGTGGTAGAACTGTGTCAGTAGCAGAGGGCAGCAGACATGGTCATTCCCGTTACTCACCCTCCTCACACAGCAAGCCCCGGGGCGCCGGCTATGAGGCACTAATGAAAGGAAAGCGCCGCTCAGAGGCCGGCACAGCCCAGACAGCTGCAGGCAGCGGTGAGCCATGAAGTCCGGACTTACTACACCGACATCACACTACAGTCCAAAACTGACAACACGACCTCCACAGGAGGAACACACTACTGACGTCAGCAACCGCGCCAATCACGGCTCAGCTGCCATGTCCCTGCTTAGTGACGATAGACAGGGGCGGGGCCTAGTGACAGCTAGATTCTGGCTGCAGAAAGAAGCTCTATTTTCGACAGGAAACATGTGACCTCCACTCCACTTTTTTTTTTTTTAGTGAACTTTAATGTAACAAGCAGAAGCTGCAGAGTGGAGCTCCACTCTACAGGAAGCATGGTACCTCCATTCTACTTTTTTTTTCAATTTACTTTATTTACATTATGAACTTTAAAGCAGCATTCCACTCAACCTATCAAAAAACAACAACTGTAGCTGCTTTTAAAAAAACAGCCACTTACCTGTCCCTTGGTCCCGCGGTGCCCCCGCAGCTTGTTTCACTGTCCGTTCTGTATTCCAGGAAGCTGGCTTCTTCAGTGTGGGCACCCGACTGTGATAGCTTGCGGCTTCACTGACGGGTACACACTGCGCATGCAGGAGAAGCGCTGCACTTCCTGAATGGTCCTGTAGTCTTCTGAGACCTGTCACGTGTCCCAAAAGACTACAGGGAGGGAGAACACCTTCCGTTAGGCAATCAGACCGGAAGTGGGAGCAGCTACCTGTCAAATTTGGGTACCCTCTGCTCCCCAAAGGTGCCAATCCTTAATGGGGAGCGGGGGAGCAGTCCTTAAAGCGGAACTTCCCCTTTTGGGTGGAGCTCCACTTTAATGGCATAAACAACCAATAATATGGAGAAGGTGGGAGATGGAGAGAAAATAACTCTACCTAGCCTTGTATATTGGTTTTACTGGTATCACACCTCTAGGAAAATAGTTGACCCAACCAAAAAAAGCTAAAGGGGCTTTAAAGGTACCACATTAAAAATTTTGAAATATAGTAAACAGGTATAGACAATGGATACAATTAAACACCTTTTATTAGGTTAAAAAACCACCTATAGGTGGAAAACGTTGATAGGCAAATTACAATCAACAAAAAAGAAAGGTCGCAGTTAGCCGTGGCTGATGTCCTAGACGCTGGGGCGTCACGGGTGTCACCGGCAATGAACAGCAGCCATTACATAAGAACAGAGAGACTATTGAAAAAAATAAAGATGCATGGTTAACAGTGGAGACATGTAATAGTATTGAAAAAAACACCTAACTAGACAATGTCATGGGTGTTGAGAAACAAATGATTGATTGATTGATATCCACTTGAGACCATGAAAGGCGTTTTGCTTGTAAATTCCAACGCGTTTTGTGGGGCACAGCCCACTTCAGGGAACAACACATAAATCCCAGTTGATGATACCAGCACATTCCTGGATAGCTCCTGATAAATATAGATCAGTAGTATCTGGATGAACGAGGAGATACCTTGACCAACCATAAGAAGTGATCATCGATTAAGAAAGAGTCCAAATACATTTGAAGACTTGCAGAAGACAAAGTCATCATTCATTTAAACAAAAACCTATTGGCCAGGTACTAACAATCATCAGATATAGTCAGGCACAGGTTGCTTTCCAAAAGTGGGGAAGGGAAGTCTTCTCGAAAAAGGGGGAGGAATAAGCCTCAAACTCTCTTGCCTCCTGGACTACACAGCGGCGGACATTCTGACACTGGTGGGAACTGACTTGGTGTCACTGACATCCCCAGTGACACCACACAAAAAAAAAAGCACTGACACTGTACTAATGGCACTGGGCAGGAAGGGGTTAACATAAGGGGTGATCAAAGGGTTAACTATGTGCAGGGAGTGCTTTACTAAGGGGCTGTGTCAGTGTGCTTCACAGTAATGCCTGAACTGACAGGGAGGAGGACTGTTAGTAAACAAAACAGTACTCTTCCCCGTCAGAGATCTTCGGAAATCACCGGGCACCGGTGAGTAATTACCGGCCGGGACCCGGTGATTGACAGCCATGAACGTGAATGGTGGCGCGGGTAGGGCGCGCCCCCTACCTGGAAATGCAAAATCATATATACGTGATTTTGCTCATCCGTGCCGCCCTGTAGCAGTATTTCTGCTAGAGGGCGGACGTGAAGTGGTTAACTGACAATTGCGCGGTCCTGCAATGCTGCACCCAAATGAAATTTATGTCCTTTTTCCCCACGAATTGAGCTTTCGGTGGTATTTGATCGCCTGTGCGTTTTTTTATTTTTTGCGCTGTATAAAAATATATATAATTTGAGAAAAAAAACTGTTTTTTTACTTTTTACTATTAAATATGTCCAGTAAAAAAAATGTAAAAATCAAATTTCGTCATAAATTTAGGCCAAAATGTATTCTGTTACATGTCTTTGCTAAAAAAAAAAAATCCCAATACGTGTAAATTAATTAGTTTACGTCAAAGTTATAGCATTTACAAGTGGCGGTATATATACTGGCCTTATTTTTTTTTTTTCACTAGTAATGGTAGCGATCAGTGACTTATAGCGGGACTGCGGTGGGCATTCTGACACTGGGGGGAACTGACTTGATGTCACTGACATCCTCAGTGACACCAATACAGTGATCAGTGCTAATAAAAACCAATGACACTGTACTGTCACTGGGGAGGAAGGGGTTAACGTGGGGCGAGCAAAGGGTTAACTGTGTGCCATTTTACATCATGTTCTGTGTTTGTGCTTCACTATAAGCACACTGCTTTGCATGGTTGTGCACAGCACAGCCATGCAAAGCAGTGTGCATGAGCTGACAGGGAGGAGAACTATTTTGTTTACTAACAGTTCTCTCCCCCCCCCCCCACCCCATTGGAGATCCTCGGCAATCACTGGACACCGGTGAGTAATCACCACCGGGACCAGGTGATTGACAGCAGCGCCTACGAATGGCGACACAGGTAGGGCGCTCGCGCGCCTCCTACCCGGAAATTGAAAATCACGTATATATACGTGATTTTGCGCACAGCTGCCACCCTGTAGCAGTCTTTCTGCTATGGGGCAGAGCTAAAGCAGTTAACACCAAGCAAAGACCCTAGAGAATGACATGTCGATCGTTGCAATTCATTATATTACATGGCATTTGCGCAGCAGTTTTTGAAATACAATTTTTTTGGAAAAAATACACTTTAGTGAATTAAAAAAAAAACACAAGAGTTACCCCAATGTTTTTTTTTAATATGAAAGAGGATATTACAGCGAGTAAAAAGATACCTAACATGTCATGCTTTAAAATTGCACACATTTGTGGAATGGTGACAAACTACGGTTCTTAAAAAATCTCCATAGGTGACGCTTTAATAAATTTGGCAGGTTACCTGTTTAGAGTTACAGAGGAGGTCTATGGCTAGAATGGACTAGTAAAGTCTGTTCTTTGACTTACAGGTGAGCTTAGAATAAATCTTCCCTGTAGGTAAAATGAATATCTCCTAAATGTGCACCGTTTAGGAGGTATTTCAGTGAACAGCAGTCGGAGACATCACCGGCTCATGCATTCTAAAGGAATGGGATACCTGCGCTATTCCTTCAGACCTGGGTGCTTAACCGGGAGCTCCCATGTGTGAGTGACGAGAGCACAATGCATTGTGGATCGTTGCGCTTAAGTTTGACTCAAATATATAGCCCATCCCTAGTAAAGAGTTAGTTTGCACCAGTTTACCATTTTACCAGCCCCAAATTTAGGACTAAGCCAACAAAAAATGAGCGCTGTACGTTATAGGTAAATAGTATGTGACAGGATTGGTTGTAAACCCTAACTATACCTAGTGAAGTGACAGTCCTCAGGTGATACACAGAGAAGAGACAAATCAGCCTACATAAGTTGTACCTGTTTATCCGCAATAATCTCTTCTCTATATCAGTTCAAAGTGCTGATTTTATAAATCTTGCCTGAGCTCTCAAAAAGCAGGGGAACAGGGAGCTGAAGTTGCACACTGCAGACCTCAGTGAGAGCTGATTGGAAGCTAGGGACCCCCCCCCCCCACCTCCACTCAAGTACAGGGCTGAGACTGCCAATCTGCTGGAGGTCCCTCCCATGTCACCTTTTTTCTCGGAGTCAGGAAAACTTGTCAGAAGTGACGCATGCTGATAGCAGAGAAACATCTTCTTGAAAGCTCAACCTCTGCTGACACCACCGTGCTCTTGTTACCAAAGTAAATCACAAATGTAAAATGGACTCACACACACAAGTTAGTATAGACCAATATGAAGTTTATTTTGGAATTAAAGGTAACTTGGTCAAAAAGAACAAATGACACTGATATATGCAGTAAATATAATCACTCTTGGTAATTATGAGCAAAAAGTAACGACCTTCACCATAAAGCAACAATAACTGTTGGCAGGCCTGCTTTCAGAAATAATCCACTGCCTCCAATATGAGGGGACTGCTGAATCCCCAGTAGGCAGAAACAACTATCAAGAAACAGGTGAGCTCACTCTGGGCCCTCAGAACAAGATGACAAGGATTACTTGTGAAGGAAAGAAGATTCTCATTTGAAATTGAACACTGTCCCTTTAAGAATACTATAGTGTCTTCTGCGCGCTTGTTGGGGCCCAGTTGGTATGAAGTTGAGTTGAGGTGTAGAATATAGTTCCTTGGGATGGCAACACAAAGATAGTGAAGGAACAAGGGAGATTTAACACTTTTCCTCTTGATGGTAGCGAATTAGGGCAGGGTCCCCTTTAAAGCTCTAAACATGGGGCAGGCTTGAAGTTATGAATAGCAACAATTGGCATAAATGTCTATAGGCTAAGACAGCTTCCTCTGTACATCAAAGGCAAATATATACAGTAATGGGAATCCTGCTTTGTTGTAGAAGGGAAACTTGCTGTTTCAGTTGGCACTGTTGTATCCTGGCCTGCAACTCTATGTCCTGCTGTCAGGTTGTACATTAAACTGTAATGTAGATGTATTTTAATGAAGGTGGCTGCGAGAACTAGGCCACAAACTGAGACAACTACAGTGGGGCAAAAAAGTATTTAGTCAGCCAACAATTG